CTGGCCTATTATTCTGGCTATTGGAATCATTTGAGACACTGCCATAGGCCAAACTGTTTCCATGGATACAACCGATTCACTATGGGATACCAGATACCAGGTGAGAACATTTATTGGTCCATTTAAACTGAGGACTTCCACCTGAGATGTTCTGCATTAGTGTCTAGTAATAATTTCTGTATTGTTAAGAAATATAATGGAATAGGCGTTCCAAATATTTGTATTATTTATATGTATTAATTTCTACATTTATTATATATTATATTAGTTAACAATAACAAAACTGATATACATAGAGTGCTGGGTAAGTTACTCTAAAATGTATTAATTACTAGCTACTAATTATATCTTTAACAGTGTAATTAGACTTCTGACCTAATTACTCTCTCTCAAAAGTATTGCATCATTACTTTCTAAATCCCACATCAACCTCGACCAGTTGAACAGTACAAGAATAGACATGAAACTGCTCTTTTAATTCTTTCAAATAAATAATATAAAATTGCATATATTATTCTTGAACTGACCAGAGTATTTAAAAGGAGAAGGTTACATTAGAGACATACATTTTAACATTAGATGTAACGTTTTGATGTTAAATACACTATTGTTTTATGCAGAATTGTGTTATAGTCTATACAATATTTAATGCAGTTACATCAGAAGTAACTGTAATTAAATTGCATAAAAAATAAGAGCAATCCCTTACTTTTTCAAGGGAAAAGTAATTGAATTACAGTAATTAGTTACTTAGTGATGCATTACACCCAACACTGTAGTCATATTATCTTTGTCTCTTATGAAATTAAAATGCATATACATTCTGAAGAAAATGTGGCTGGTTCTTGCCACAACCCACCAGCAAGTCTCTAAGATGTTTTGATTTCTCAATTAGTAAGATGATTAGCAAGAATCAATAATTATGTTCATGTTTAAAATGTCACAGTCGTCACTGTACTAAAACATCTTGTTAACAGTATAAGGTCGTCTGTCATCAGCGCAGAACACAGTCAGGAACTTCCTCCGCTGACTCAGCGCGCCGGTCGCCTCAAGCTACATCTATAAACACTGTTTAGAGTTCCAGAGTATTCAATAGAAGCCAAACCAAATGCTTTCACCAATGTGGGGAAACATTTCTTGGTAATTTAATTAAACCCCAAACCAAACAGCAATGTAGATGGAAAGTCAGCTCTGGTGGAAAGTCTTCCCTGGCTGGAGACACTTTTCTGGCACAGGCATGAATCAGTGGCTCAGAATCAGCATGCATAGTTGAAGTATTACTGCAGCATGTGGATTACCCTGATTCAAGTGACGGATGAACCAGAACTAACCTTTGAAAAGCCAAGCCAGATATTGGAGTTCAGAGGGCTGCAGCCATCAGCAAAATTGGTGAATGTTGTGTTTTGGCAACTGCTGTTGCTTGTGCTTTCCAGGCTGTCATTATAACCAGAATCTGGGGTGACACATCAGTAGGAAATTAAATGTCAAAAGAGACTTCAGAAAGTCAGTTCAGTTCCAGGTTTGTTTGATGTTCTTAGCATTGGAAAGAAAATCACGAATTGTTTCAAAAACGACAAGCAAATGGAACGTTTTACATATCTCCCCAAAGATTCAGAACATTATAACCAGAATCTGGGGTGACACATCAGTAGGAAATTAAATGTCAAAAGAGACTTCAGAAAGTCAGTTCAGTTCCAGGTTTGTTTGATGTTCTTAGCATTGGAAAGAAAATCACGGTTGTTTCAAAAACGACAAGCAAATGGAACGTTTTACATATCTCCCCAAAGATTCAGAGGAGATCTCAATTTTGTCTCAAACTATGCTCAGATTTGCTCTGGATATAGGATGCAGATGTGTACATTTTTCTTATTTTGTTTAAATGTCTTGTTTTTCCCATTTAGTACTGCCCTTCAGAAGCTACAGAAGATACTTACATGTTTCCCAGAAGACACAATAAGTGCAGTTTAACCTGATCTTCAAATTTAGAAAGTCTTTACCCCCAGATCTTAATGCATTGTGTTGCCTTCTGCAGCATCAGTGTTTAAACCTTTGTGTATGAGTTGCATATGAGTCCCTCAGTTACCGTCATTGTAAAAAGATGGATTTTAAAATCATACAGTCACAGCTGGGAAGGGTTCAAATATGCAAAAGAAGAAGAACAGTACAAACAGTGGCCTCGTGGACGACCATAACAAAAAAATAAACAAAATGTAAAAAAAAATTAAACGAACGAACGAACCAACGTAATTAGACATCATTTTGGTATAATAATTAACATTTTGCAGATTCTGCAAGGTGTATGGAAACTTAAAAGTAACATGTTTTCTCAAATTCTCATTAAAAACGTTTTTTTTTTTTAAAAATCGGCATGCTATCATAAAATACTTATACATTATTTAAATTTTAATATGTATTTCATATTTTCTTGCTTTTACACCCAGCACAATTGGTGAGAAAATGTGTTAAGTTGTCTTTCAAATAATGACACAATGCAAATAAATCATTGGCCTATTTAAATGTGTGCAACAAAGTTTAAACAAATATTTTCATGCTTTGCAGGAAGCTTGTGATTATTGAGGCCTCCTGGCATCTTAGTCAGTAATTAAGATTCCACGTAGGTAAACAACCGGCTGGTTCCCATTACCAATTGACTTTATGTACTGTTTAGTGCCAGCTATCCTATAGTGCCATGAATACTCACATAGACTCAAAATTGAGCTCAGCCGGTGAAGTATATACTGTAACAAGATTGTTACCAGATTTAAATAACTTCTTTAGTCAAACTTCAACTAAAGATGTTTTGTGCAACCTTGATTTGACCAAACTCGCACATGAATCTTTGTAAAGGAAAATTGTATATTCCATTTGGCTCCAATTAGAGAATTACAGCTATTAATGGAAAACCGGCCAATGAAAATATCTCCTGCGGTGATGTCATGAGGTGACAGAAACACAAAGCTGGTCATTAGTATATTAGAGGTCAAAGGTCGCTCGAACACAAGCTCATTTGTTCATTTTGGAGTCAGTGGCGCTTGCTTTGGCGGCGTCTCGCAGATTTTGTTTGGAGAGAAAGCAGTGTACATGCTAAAGAGACCTGCTGTGAGATCGTATGGATGTAGACGGTCGTAACTGAGTGGTTTTTAGTATTTTTTCCTCTTAGCAGGAGAGGACACCCTCAGGAGCGGCCTGCCAATCTGCTCGTGATCTTTATGGTCAAATCAACAAGAGTCGACTGCCTGTGCGTTTGAATTTCATGTTTGCTTACTCTGAATCAAGCAGCAGAAATGTGGGAGAAACGTATTTCTGAACTGTGACTTAAAGTGCTGGGAAGCTTCTTTGAAACGAATTTCTCGCGATAAAAGCTATTCATTAAAGTACTGTAAGTAAATGTTGCTTGTGTCTTGAGCAAATAAATTAATTAATTTGCTTATTTATTTAAAGGGGACCTACTATGCAAAATTCATGTTTGTATTGTTTTTAAACATAATTATATGTGTCAGCAGTGTGTGTACACAACCACCCTGTTGTGCTAAAGATCCATCCACTACGTTTCCTTTAAACAAATATTTATTTTCAAATATAGTATATTTACATTTAGGTGGGAACAATGTGAACAGGTGAATTTACACTAACAACTACACTGTAATTTTTTTTTTTCAAAGTTGGGTTAAAAAAAGATCAATGGAGTATATTTTATAAGAAAGTACTATTTTAGTCTTTCTACTTAATAATTGTGTTTAATTCAATCTGCAAATATTTATTTTCAAATATAGTATATTTACATTTAGGTGGGAACAATGTGAACAGGTGAATTTACACTAACAACTACACTGTAATTTTTTTTTTTCAAAGTTGGGTTAAAAAAAGATCAATGGAGTATATTTTATAAGAAAGTACTATTTTAGTCTTTCTACTTAATAATTGTGTTTAATTCAATCTGTTACTTTCCGTTTTTTGTAAATATTTGTGAAATTTACTAGCAATTTCTGAGCGAAAATGCTAGTAAATCCTACACCAGTTTTTTCCCCAATAATTACAAAGAAATGGTAAATAATGCATTGAATTAAATACGAAAGTTTGTAGCATGAAGATTTTCTTGTAAAAAATATTCCAATAATCTTTTTATTATTTTTTAGAACATTGAAAGGTCCTTTTTCAATGTAAAACAAACTTTTTCAGTGTAATAAAATCTGTGTTCACAGTTCACATCCAATTCACAGTGATGAATCAAAGCATCTAATTAAATATTTTGAAACATAAGAGATGGCATATCAATGATTCAAATGAGTCAGTGAACATTTTCTTTTTAACTGATCTGTCTGTCTGTCTGTCTGTCTGTCTGTCTCCATAGGAAAGTAAGGGAAAGCAAAAAGGAAATTGGTCCTGTGATAGTGTCCGATGGTCATAAAATATTTTTATGACCATCTGACACTATCACAGGACCAATTTCCTTTTTGCTTTCCCTCTCTTTCCTTTGTTTTCACTCATGAAGTCTAGCGACATGGGAGGACACTTCAGTTTCGGGACAGCAGCTGTGCCAGTGCAGCATGTCTGTCTTAAAGCTGATCTCAGAGCAGTAACAGGGTCTTTCTCAACAGGCCGTGACTCTATTAGCTCTGATCTCAGTGGGCAGTGTAGCTTTAAAAGCAACAAAACTGTTTGAAACTACAATGTTTCAGTGAACCGTGAATGTACTTGTTTTCTCTTTTTGTGGTTTGTTCTTTATCTTGATGGTAAGCATGTAAAACAAATGGCCACTTCTCTTTGTTTATTTGTAATCTCACTGCGTAAGTCTATACAAAAATAGTTTGGTTATTTATTTACTCCTGATGTCAGACGTTTTTCCCAGGCAGGCAGATTCTGTTTTGAATTTGGACCAACTGATTTTGTGTGCAGAAATTAGAGGTGAATGAAAGATGTACAGGTACCAGGCCTTAACTGAATCTGATGAATGTTTCATAACACAGTATTAAATTGTGTGTTTATATGTTCTTCCGTAGATATTGATGAATGCCAGGTGCATAACGGTGGCTGCCAGCACAAGTGTGTGAACACCAGGGGTTCGTATCACTGCCAGTGTAACGCTGGATCTCGACTGCACGTGGACGGACGCACATGCATCGGTAAAGCAGCCAGACCTGCCCAGGCTCATGTTTCACCACAAAATCAAAGGACATCAGAGCTGGTGTAAAGGAAATTAAGCCTGTTTTTAGGACCTTTAAATCTGTGAATTACTGTGTGTTAACTATAATTCTATCCTTCCATCTATCCATCCACCCATCATCCATCCATTGTTCTTTCATTGTTCTATTGTACTATCCATCATCCATCCATCTATCCATTGCTCTATCCATCTATTGCTCTGTCATTCCATCCATCCATCCATCCGTCCGTCAGTCCGTCAACGCTTTATAATTCCATCCATCCATTCGTCCATCGCTCTTTTGTTCCATCCATCCATCTATTGCTCTATTGTTCCATTCATCCATCCATTCATTCCTTGCTTTATCGTTCCATCCCTCTATTGCTCTGTCGTTCCATCCATCCGTCCATCCATCCATCTATTGCTCTATCCTTCCATCCATCCATCAGTCTATTGCTCTATCGTTCCATCCGTCCATCACTTTATCATTCCATCCATCCATTGCTTTATCGTTCCATCATCCATTCGTCCATCGCTCTATCCTTCCATCCATCACTTTATCATTTCATCCATCCATTCATTGCTTTATCGTTCCATCCATCCATCACTCTAACGTTCCATCCATCCATCCATCCCATCCATTGCTCTATCATTTGTCGCGGGGTGAATGAGAACACAGACTCGTTACTGATCGAAAGAGTCCCGGAGGGTGATTTACTTGCCCACACACTGATCACACGTGCCCTGATGAATGGTGCTCGGTGCCCGTCTCAGCGTGGTGCTTGTGAGGTGAAGTGCCGTGGTGCAGATCCCTCTCCCAGGGTGCCTTCGGAGTCTGTGAACAATGAGAAACAAGCATAAATGTCACCTGGAGCTCCGGGGTGCCTTCCCGCTGGTGTCTCTTCTCCTGGCTTTTAAGGCCAGCGGGAACGAGCTCCAGGTGCGCCACTCATCGCGCACAGGTGTTGTGCGTCGGTGATCAGTGTGGCAGCGGCGTTTCCAGGGCGACGCTAATCTGGACTCGGGATACTCGCCACATTCCCCCCCCCAGGCATCGCCCTGGTCCTGTGGGGAAACACACAACTCGTTGTGGGGGTATTACGGGGGGGGGATTTTAGGTTACCTGCCAGACCTGCCCAACCGGACCAGCCCCGTAGAGACCATCCGCATTCCCGTGATCGGCCCCGGCCCGATGTTGTACCTGGAAGCAGAAGTCCTGGAGTGCAAGGAACCACCGTGTCACCCGGGCGTTTGTGTCCTTCGCCTGGACATCCATTGCAGGGGCGCATGGTCGGTGACGAGGGTGAATCGGTGGCCCCAAAGATAATATTTTAACTCCAGGACTGCCCACTTTATGGCCAGGGCCTCTTTCTTCAGGGTGGCGTACCTGGTCTCCGCGGGGGAGAGTTTCCGGCTGATGTAGACTATTGGGTATTCCTCTCCATCCCGGAGCTGGGAGAGGACTGAAGTCGAAGTCTGGTGCATGCAGAACCGGGGAGGACGTCAGGGCCGTCTTGAGGGCCTGGAAGGCGGCTTTGGTCTCGGGAGTCCAGTCTATCCTCTCCGGCTGCCCCTTCTTGGTAAGGTCTGACAGGGCGCAGGCTATAGAGAAGTTAGGGATGAAACACCGGTAGTAGCCCGCCAACCCCAAAAAGGCTCGTACCTGCGTATTGTTGTACAACATCCTGTTGGCGGGACGTGGGAACTTCTATACCGCCTCGACCTTCTTGTCCTGGGGCATGATGAGCCCTCTTCCGATCTTGTACCCCAGGTATTTTGCTTCGGTGAGGCCGAGGTGGCACTTCTTGGGGTTGGCCATCAGGCCAGCCCACCGGAGCTCCGTCAACACCCTCCTTAGACGCTCCAGGTGAGTCTCCCAGCCCTCAGAGTGGATAACGACATCATCCAGGTAGGCTGTGGCGTAGGCTTGGTGGGGCCGGAGCAAGATGTCCATCAACTGCTGGAACTTGGCTGGTGCCCCGTGTAGGCAGAAGGGTAGCACCCGGTAATGCCAGTGGCCATTGGGAGTGCTAAAGGCTGTCTTC